CTACTACTACTACTACTACTACTACTACTATTGAGATTTGGCAGTATTTATTGCGTTTTGGCATTTAGAATTGAAGGGGGTAATACTTATTGTAGTCTGGTACTTGTTGTTGTAATTTTGTTATGATAATTGCGATTCGGCGTTTGTTATAGGTTTAAAAACAGTTCAAACACAGGTGTTTGGGAACTAAGGAGCGACCAAAACCACCCCAAAACACCCCAACATGCAAATAACAAGGCCCCTCATCGTCTTCACTTTGGAACTGGCCCAAACTTGCGTGGCCGCACCTGGCTCGGAGCCAAGTCCTTCTTCAGCTGCGGCAACCACTTGCTGAAGCAAGGCCTCGCAGTTCAAACTAAAGTCTGCAGATTTACACGTGAAGAGCGGGCACAAGGGAAGGACCCAACCGACGTGCAAGAAAACACCAAAATAGCACCTGAAGGAAGTGGGCTGCAGGTGGTGGACGGAACATGTGCACCACCTGTAGAACCTGCAAACTGTCCATATGTAATATCCTGGTCCATTTATGACATGTGCAGTCGAGTATACAAGTGCATTTGTCCGGTGGAGCAGCACAGCATGTTCTCCATCAACACCGGAACACGAGCTCAAAAAGGCTGGGGGGAACTCGGGGAAGCAGGCAGGGAAAACCCTTTCTGAAGCATGTTCAGTAGGAGTTGCTTGGAGGAAACCTGTCCTCTAAAGTCCGGTCCTAAAAACAAAACTTTGTCATCGAACACCCACCAACTTTAACGACCATCCTAGCATTTGCACAGGCATGGAATTCACGCCAACTTAGCTAAAATAGAGTTTGCAGTTGTCCATGTTCAGTACATGACAAAGCAACCAATCAATGCACCAAGCCACAAAAATGGCGGCATCGCTCAACAACCCCCCTGGCCCAGTTCTGAGATCTACTCTGGAGTCCCAAAAAATAACTTGGAATCAGTGAGCATCGAAGTTTGCAGAGTTACAGTTACAGATCCATCTGCCCCTGTGTCACGGCCCTTGCGCCGTGTAGAAACTCCGCTCTGCTCACACCATCAGGCCTCAAAGGTGCGGTCGAAGGAGGCTCGCGATAACCTGAGGCCAAAAACCACAGAGAAAACGAGTCTGGCAGTCGATGTCTTTCAACGCCCGGACCAGGCAGTGTGGGATCTTGTCAGGTCAGGTCGTAAAAATAGGTCTTAACTCGTGTCAGGAGCGGCAAGGACTACAGAGTCCTCCAGTCTCCCCCTCACACTTGAGGGGAGCCCAAGTAGAACTAAGGCCAGTGCCTCACATCTTCTCGCAGCACGAAAGGATGCCTGTCATAGGATCACATGACCAAACCCACAGTCGGTCTGTCCGTCGGACCCTGCTCATTGAAAGTAGGAACCCCCCTTTTGTTTGAGCGAAGAGGGGAATTTGGCATGCCAATTGAAGGGAAATGACCCCTCTTTTTTTCACCACCTAGGCGCCCAGAAATTGTCCAAAAGGTGTCCAAGCCAACACAGAGATTTTGCTTGGAAAAACTCATCAACAAGCTTTCTTCAGTTTGCTGAAAAGAACAAATGTCATTCCCACTCCAAATCACATTACGAGGTTTCAGCAAAAGAAACAACATCCAACGAGTAATGTAGACCTTTGACATTTGATGAATAGAATCCCGTATACGGTGCTTTACCATCCAAACATTATGTTTCTTTTGAATCAACCGTCCCACATGGCCAACCGCTCAAAGCTCGCTCGCAGCGTCCCCCGTGCCCCGTCTCAACTCGCCGACGTGGCTGCAGCAGTTCGGGGATCGTGGGACGCCGCGCGGGATCGCGTTGGAGGCACCTGGGTGAGAGAGCGAAGGGGTCGAAGAGCACCGGTTCTCGGCCTTCGGGTGCTTCACGGTCTGATCTTCCCTGGAAAACCAGCCAATAGTCACAGGCCATCTATGGTTGGAGGTGTGGACAGTAACAGTGAGAGCTTGTGATGCCAAGTATCTGGAAAGTATCTTTTTTCACCTAGGTCTGGTCATCCATGTGCGGAATCCTGCCCAAAATTCCGCCAAAAAAAGACATCATCTCTATATACTTGGGACCCAAATAGATTCATCGTCCAAACCATCGTTTGTCAATCCCTAATTTAAAGGTCGGGATCTCGCATTCAGATGATGTCTTCGGCGAACTCTAGGAGGGACCACCCTCCGGTGTCCAACGCCACCATCGACCGCCGCTTGGGGATCAGTCTCTTTTGGTGGAACTGAGGACCTATCTGAGAAAAAGAAATGCAAGTCCGATCCCCAAACAAGTCTGATCACAAGAAGTCTGGTTCGATCTTGGGCCGTGCACCATCTATATATAGTGAGTTTAAAGCAAGGTATTGGAAAGATCGCTTTTCACCAAGGCTGAAGCCCATGGGGCCCATGCCCATGAAGAAGCCAAACGTCTTCTCCACACCCATGAAATCAACAACCAAACCCCCTGTCATCCCTCATCCACACACCCCACCTCTGCAGAACATCCAGCAGGGTGTCCTGTCGCACCGTTGCACAGACTTCCAACCCTCGAGCCCAAAGGAAGAGACGATCGCACCCAGTCCGATGTCAATACAGCACCTCTGATCGGGAAACAACAGGTTCGGTTCATGTGAGCAAAATGTTCCACCCAGATCTCTCAAAAATCTTCTCTGGCAAGTGGTGACTCCATCCACCATCAACTACAGAACCGCCTAGATCGATACTGTAGTTGTACAAAAAAAGTGCGATACACATCCATCAACATTCATAAATTATCTAGTCTAGTAACGTTGTGTTGTTGGCTCCTGATGAATGCATCGCCAGAGTCGATTGAATATATTTGTTCACTTATGTTCCTATTTTTTCCTCACATGAAAATAGAAGAAGAAATTATGGCTTGGAGTGCTGCTCGGTCATCATCACAAAGAAATCAATCACGGCTTGTCATAATCATATCAGAATCATATATATATAACGACTCAAGCAGGTACCACATCAACTCCTAGAGCTTGAGAACAACACCACACCATTCGTAGTTCAGTGATGTTCAGTGGCCAATCATATCACTGTCCGCACCTTCATGGCCTTGGAGTGCTGCTCGAAACGATGCGACGCCGGAAACTCCACGGACACGTTGGGGTCCTCAGCGACGCAGGTCACCGAACCTTTCGGTCGGCTCCAACGGTCGTTGTGTCAACTCGACCTGGAAGCCGAAGCCTCAAGAATAGGGTCACAGGAAGAAGGAAGGGAGAGAGTCAAAACACTCCACCAAAACATGAAAGACAAAAAAAAAAAGATGACGTATCAATCCCAAACGGAGCAGCCAACAAACCTCGGTCGTCTCACATCCAATCAAGTATTTCTGCCTCTGAAAAGTCTGGGTGACCCAGGTTCCTCCAACAAGCCGTCTGAGCTACCCAGGCGGTCAAGGCAAAAAGCCGTTGCATGGGATCCAAATGAGCAAACGGCGCTCGCATGTAGATCATCTGGTACCTCTCTGAGCAGCCAACACGGACTGCGAGGACGAGTCCGAGTGTCTCGAACTGTCTCCGTTTGGACACCGGGAGAGAACGCAGGTGCCCCGGTTCCGAAGGGTTCCGAAGCTCCAAAGACCCCAGGGGGACCGAAGCTCCAGACTCCAGACTGTGCCCCAAGCTCCGATGGGACCTGCGGGTACCCTGAATCGACCGATTCCGAGGCCTTTCGGCCCAGGCCATGTGGCATGAGACTCACATGGTGGCATGATGATAGACTTAAGAATAGTGGATTCCACACAAAATAGGAATGCTAGCATGTCGTCCCGCTTCTTTTCCAAGTCACGTCACGAGAACATCGCCCTGTCCCCGGCCCGGCCCGGGACACAGGATGATGCCCAAAGACCAGACATCCGAGGGCCGCCCAATCTTCACCGCGCCCTGCTTCACAGCCTAGCACCGCTGGGACCACGGTGACCACAGGTCAGATGGATCATCCATCAACCCTCTACGTTCGTCCATGAGCCGTTGGGACCTCCTCCCCTCACAGAGTCGCGATCAGGTGATTCCCAACCATTCCGTCGTGCACACAGAAAGCCCAGTGGATCCGTTCACAACCCACGATGCTGGGGACCAGTCTCAGTGGCTTCCGTTCCAAAAACATGGCATACGAACGAAACCAGACGACCGAACGAAACATGAACGAAACCCTGAGGTCCTCATATAGGGACACGTTGCAGTTCACCACCACTTATATAGGCAGTTCACCACCCGAAAGCTTGTGACACGCGAACCTCGCGTTGCCTCGCCGCGTGGCTGCCCTGGTGGCCTCGGGAGCCATGTAGCTGATGGTCCCCACGGAGGACTCACGGCTGATGTTGGTCGTATTGCTGGCGATCCTGCGACCCGACCCCAGGGCCACGTCCGGCGCAGCTGGCGGTCCGGAGATGAGAGGTAGCCCACAGGGAAGATCAGACGTCAACGTGCACTCGTGCCCTAGCAGCGCACAGAGTCGCGCCCTAGCAAAAGAACCCAGTTCGACCGCAGGACCAGAAGCTGTGGCCGACGCTCCCCTCACTGAAAACACTTCAACTAACATGCTTTATGGCTTTACATCCCTAGACTCCGAAGGCACACCACTCCGACCAGACTCGGCTTCCCCTCCTCTTGGCAATGCCAAAGTCGATCAGCTTCAGGCGCTGCTTCACCAGCATAAAGTTCCCCGGCTGCAATCGGCGGCTGGGTTTCGGTGGCTCGTCGGCTCAATCCGACCCCACGAGCGGCTTCCGAAGGACTGGTGGTTTTCTTCGGACCCGGCATGCGCTCCTTCCAACAGCCGAAAAAGCGCTCTGTTGCGGGCTTTTGACCTCCTGCATATGTGGCCAGAAGGGTCCTTCCGGTCCTTGATGCCAGTCCCAGGCATCCAAGAAGTTGATTCTTGACTGCCACAAGGCGGCGTGACAGGAAAAACGCAAACTGATCCAGCAGGGAAAAAAAAGAAACAACAGTGAAACGGCCGGCGCCCCCGAAAAAAAAACGAAGAAGTGGTCAAATGTCCGGAGCCATGTCACGTGGTCAGTGTCTTGTCACTCCTGTCACGTCTCCGCGTGATGCGCCCAGCGCCTTGAGGTCTGAATGAACCACACGCTCCTGATGCACCACCTGTGACGATGGGTTTGTCGTGCTTCTTCCATGGGTTTGTCCGGGCTGAGACAGACCGCACCCATAAAACTAGGATCTGCATAGGATTGCAGATCTGCAATTGTAGGGTTCTTCTGCCACAGGTGTCCAACCCAACCAGAGTACTCTCCTGACTTTGTCTCCCTGCAGCAGGACATGGTCACATATGGATGAGGGACTGGTTCAGCACGTTGGTTCCAAATGAGATTCCGCTGTGCTGTCTCTCAAATTCATAATTGGGCTGCGTGGGTCTTAGAATAGGGACACCCTGTAATCAATGGGTTTGGATGAATTCTTCGTGTTACCGGTTATATATTTCACCACACATCGAGATGCAGAACTCCTTGTTGTCAGCCATGTTTCCGCTGTCATTGATGAAAACCCGCACCTGGTTACAGATCGGCTCCAAAACAGGGGCCAAGCGGTCAAAGATACAAGGTGGAAGAAAACATGTTCCCATATCCTTCTTTAGTGTCTCAAGTGTCCGTGCTGTCAGGTCATCCCCAAACCCGAACGAGTCCGTCCACATGGTTCGAAGCACGAAGATCTGGGCTGCCATGGGCCTGGACGGCTTCCAGCATTTGCCTCCAAAGCGCCTCACAGAATGGTCCCTACAGTGATGTTGGGTAGAGAAAGGACCAGTGCAAAGGATACTCACTTGTGGTGCTTGTGCAAAACAACTTCGTTGATATCATCGTAGACCCCACATTATAGAGCAAAACGTCGGATCGCTAGGACAAACAACCCATTGCTGGAGTCATGCATGTTTTCAAGGCCATGTGACCCTCTCAAGAGGCCGTCGTGACGAGGCTCGAAGCTCAGAGGTGTCTCCACCAACACGGCGAGACAGTGGGTTTCGGGCTTCGGTTCGTGGGAATGGAGCCCTTGCATCAGCCATGCACACGATGTGTGATGGACCATCGGATGTGTGATGTGTAGTCCGCGTAGTCCATTCTGAAGTGAAAAAACATGTGTCTGCAAGAGCTCAGGCGGTTTTCAGCAATGTGCTGTACAGGAGAAGTATTCTGTGAGAGCTCTACCTCTTCTTAATTTGAACTGCTAAAAGAAAAGAAACAAACAACAACTTCAACTACTGTAACAGAACCTCAAAGTCAGTCTCGGAATTGGCCGAAAATGTCGATCAAAAACACCAAAATACCTCACAACTCCTTGGGGATGTCTTTTCAAGTTGTTGAAACCAATGCTTCCTCAAAGTCAAAGGACCCTGAAGAAGCGCCTGAACGTCTCCGATGGACATGTCTGCGTGGCTTTGAAGGAGCCTCCAGCTGAGAGAAACGACTCTCACCTGCTTGTGTTGCAAACAAGCCAAAAACCAAACAGGCACAGTGATGTTACGTGATGTTTAACGTAAAATAGGTAGTTGGCTGGAAATTCCGGGATGCAAATGAGAAGCCCTGACAGAAGAAGCTAAAGGGAACGCCCAGGGAAAGAAGGGGTTAACCGACCCATCATTTTGTCTTGGCCTGGTCGCTGAAGGGACGCACGGCACCAGAGGCGACATCGCACGAACACTCGTCACACCCCGGGCTTCGGGCACAATTTCCTGCTGTTTGGGGTGGAACACGGGTGGGGCAAAGGAGCGTTGAACTGGAGGAAGGTCTTTGAGAAACAAACATGGGTGTAGTTTAAATAGGGAGACCTCTCAGTTCGACCCCCTGGAAGGTTCGGAGAATAGACCAGTCGACTGATTGGGCCAGGTCTTCCGATGTCGCTTCTGAGATTCGACATCGCCAAGGTCAAGCCCCTCCTGCATGTCTTTCATGTCTTTCTTCGACGGGTATGGCCTGCCAAGATCCATCTGCCCCTCCTCCATCACCTTGGTTCACTGCGAAGCCTAATTAAAGTCACACTTCCTCCTGGTTCAGTGGAGGAGTCGGAGAGAAACTCAGGTCACTTGGAAAATGTGAAAAGCATCTCCAACCTGATCCGGTGGATCTTTGCTTCGTGACTACTCTGACTATATTGGCCGAGTAGATCAATCGGCGACTCCATGAGCAGTTTCGCATCCTGCAGCTTCTTCGGTCTTCTCCATAGGGGAAAGGTCCGTGTTCATCCAGTTCCTTTCAGTTTCTAGGTCGAACCCACCGAACCAATTCCTTTCGGACACCGTTTTGGGGTCGATTTGCGCACGCAGCACGGAGCACGGAGCACCGAACGTCGACTTGTGAAGACCAGCCATCGACGACCCCCTTCTTTTTCCATCCTGTTGGTGTGCATCTAAAGCCCCTTCAAAGCAGGGTAGATGGCTGAAACACCCCAAAAATCCCAAAAAGATCTCCAAGGATGGAAAACACCCGGAAACCCAACAAATACCCACCCCAAATACCACCGCCCAAACACACATTCCCCGGGCAAAACATGATCCGGACCGTCGTCTGCCGTCCCTTTTCGACCCACGGGTAACCAGCCGTCCCCACGGCTTCGACCGCTTCGCCATGGGACGATGTGGATCAGCAGCCGATCGGGTAAGACCTGGCCGAGCGGCTCGGACGGGTCGTTGTACAGACATGTTGTGGGACAACTTAAAATTTTATGGTGGTTCACCATGATGCTTTCTACTGCCCCAAAAACGAAACGTTTGTCCGTTGACCTACAATACCAATACCGTTTTACCGGTGCTTTCTCAACAAATCGGCCATTTTCTCCTTCTACTTCAACCGAAGACCCCCCCCCCCCCCGACCAGCCTCAGCGTCCAGGACCTGAATGATGTTGGGACACTCCTGCGTGTTGCGAAGCGACGGACCGAGAACGCGTCCGGTTGGGAACCGCAATTTTGAGGATCGAAGGAGGATCGTAGACACGACAACATCTGAAAGATCCATGGCTTTGTCTTGGAACTTGAAGATTGAGGTAGCGTCTCAGACATCGCGTGAGAGGTGTCAGCAAGATGTATCATCATCCTCAAGTGCTGAATGAAACAAATCCTATCGTCACCGCGTTCCCGTTCGTGAGTCGTGAGCTGGGGAAATCTGTGCCCTGTGGTTGACAAGCTCCAAAATCAAGCTTGTTCCATGAGCCCTTTAGAATGTCTCCAGATGGGTCAACAGCTGTCAACGACGTGTGATTAGTCCACAACCTGGACAGCTAGGTAGAGACCATGAAAGTCCTACTTGGACTTGATGTCCTCAATCCAAAGCCCTGCCAAACACTCGTCACCAGCGTGTCAAAGGAAACAACTTCATCTTCCGGCCCCATTGGCAGATCATCCATCTTCGTCTACTCCAAACACCGCAATAGCCCATTCTCTTGTACTGATACATGTCCCGCACATCACTTCGATCTGCTCCATCCCTCGTCTGCACCAAGAAGGTCCTTCAGCTGCAGCAGGAGAGTCACTTCATTGGCCAACGCCTCGTGTGGCGCGAAAGAAACACCTCTCGGGTCGGCCCCCATGGATCCATGGGCAATGAAAAACCGGGGTTGTGTACCGTTGACCAAAACTTGCGTGGTACTGTTGGTGCTCACTGGCGGTGAATAAAACACCCGAAATGGGGACATGAAACCATTTTAGGCTTTTTTCATCAACAGTCAACATGAAGATCCCTGAAGTACTTAGGGCCAGCGTTCCAAACTGCTTGAACTCTAGGTGCTTGGGTGCTTGGCATGCTCCTTTTCGGCGGCCCCAACACCGCGGCGTTCCGCGGTGGTTTAGGAGATCCGCGGCACCTCGAAGTGCTTGGGGCAGCTGGCAGTGACGCGCTTCAGTGCCAGCAACCTGAAGCGAATAACATGAGGTTCATCTGTGGAGCCAAAGAGCGCTTTGTTGGATCAAACGGTGTTGTTTGTCAGTTCATCAAGTTTGAATCTTGTGGAGGTCTTCAGCGACTGAAGAGTCATATTTTCGAGGCGATATGTTTTTTTGTTGTTTTTCGCAGTGGGCTGAATCAAATGTCAGATGCTTTACAAAATTTCATCCTTCAACAGTGTCACGCATTCGTGCACAAGGCTGAGCAGGCCACTTCCCACATGGAGATCTCACTTGATACACCTGTCGCGAAGTCAAAAGCTCAACTTGAGCTCGTCACAGTGGCCGAACCCTAAATATAAAGAGATCTTCATTGGCTGTGTGCACAGTGTGAGTCACACTCCAGCTCGAAATCCCAACCTTCTGCCTGCCTCCTGCATTTCTCCCACCCCTCACGCATGAAGAAAAAGCACACTCAGCCACCTCTCCCACCAGGCCACTCCGTCCGTGCACATCTTTTGGGCTCCAAGGGCATCGGGGGGGATCCCTTCCCTCAGGCAGCGCCCCGCAGGCGTCACTTTTCATCGGAATCCGCTCCTGCAAACGCGGCAGATGCGGCAGACACGCGGCACATGCAGCAGTCCGGAGGCTCGCCGTGGGATCAGGACCACACGCGTGGTTGGTGCGTTGTTTGATCTGCAAAGACCTATACAAAGTGACAAAGTGAAGTCTTTCGGGAAACGGGTGGTGGTCATTGATTGAACCAGGACTGGCCCCTTTGGCGGGCCAGTCCTGGGAGAAGATCAGCAAAACATCCAGGCGTTAAATCAAAGATCCAAAGATCCAAAGAGCAACGGAAACACCCTGTTCAATCGTCCAAAAAGCCACTTCCAGCACCTACTCATGCTTGCTCATGCTTGCTCCTGCTTGCTCCCTCTCATCCCATCTCATCTCATTTCCCATTCTAGTTGTCCCATCCGCTCTAAGCCCTGCACACCGGGGAGAAATCTTACAACGATGCGATGGCCGTATCCTCGGTGGGGTGTCCATGCGGGGCACCGGATCTAGGTGAGTCCAGTCGAAACCGGCCGCCTGACCGGGCCGAAAGCCGTTTGGTGGAATACTTTGGGCTGGGGTGACATGCGTTTTGAGATCATTTTGGGAGACCACTTAGACTTAGGCAAGTCTTCAAGAGGATTTATGGAAAGCAACACTGCCAAGCAATTGTTCATTGGGCTTTTGGTTGGGGGACTGTTTTACCATACAATTGCGCGCTGGTCATCTTGTAACCACGGCTCTTTCAAGGGTCTTCCATGGGTCGAAGCCATACACGGTCTGCACAGACGGAAGTCCCAATAAGGACCGTCCGAGGACCGTCCGACCGGACAGGACCACCGGACAGTTACTGGCCAGTTCGTTGGTGCGATCCTAATCGGCAACCCGAAAACGAATCAAATAGACGAACATGGGCCAAATGACCTTGGCACCACACCTACCCAAGAAGAATCAAGAAGAATCACTCGCACCAATCCCATCCAATCTCCTCCCCCTGCAGTTGGAGGGCTTCCCAGAAACTCCACTTAACCCAGGGAAGTCTCGGTCTTCTGGGCCGAGACACCATGAACTTCGTCTTCTGGGCGGTGGTGAGCTTCTTGAGGTCCTGCGGTGCCCAGAAGGATCGGCCGAGCAAACGCGGAAAGGAGAGTCGTTCAATGGCAAGATGAAAAGAAAAAGACATATGCTTTTTTTGGAACACCTCTCACCCACCCCTTTCGCACCTTCCCATCTAAGCGATGCTCCAAAAACAACCAAGAAGGAAGCCCTTTTCACCCGCGTCCCAAAGCACACGGCCAGACGGGGCCCGGGATCCAAAACCCATGACCGCCCGTCGCCCGCCCGTCGCCCGGTCGGTCGCCCGGTCCACGAGACCCCTGGTCACCGCTTGAGTCTCGATATAAGTCTCCAAGTTGGCCGCCACACGAGCCTACCAGCGTGGGCCGGTCGTGGGTTCTCGGTCGACCGTCGGGTTCGCGGTCGTTTCCACAGCGGACGTCGCGACAAGACCGGAGACAACGGGAGGTTCCGCGGTGGTTGGGAGAAAGGACGGGGGCGTCGCGATAGACCGAAGAAAGAAGGGATCTGTGTTGAAAAGGCAAAATGGGCGTAGCATATAACTCGACTTGTAGAAAAAACATGGAGGAGCTGGGAATCTTTTGGAGACGTCTTGGCACCACCGTTCTGCGTCGTGGATTCGCTCGAAACAAAAGATCGTGTGTCTGACCCAAACCCATCCAGGAGGACATGGACCTCACTGCCCCAAACATCGTCGACCTGTGATGGGAAGTCCTGGTCCCTTCGCGCTGCGAAGCTGCGAAGCGTTGAGCAACCGGTCTGGGGTCTCCCAGGGTCTATCCCATTTGCACGACATTGCATGAGGAGGAGAAAGGAGGAGGAGGACTCTGATGATGGTTCCTTCATGCTTTGAACATGATGATGATTGACTTCATGACTATCTCAGGGCTTTTGAACATCTGAACCGCTACCACCAAAGAAGGAGTCGGGTCGTCCGCCGGAAGACGGACAGCCCGCCCAGCCGGCCCAGCCCCTGGAAGACTGTAGAGTGTTGACAATGAAGTCTTCATGAAAAACAAAAAGGAACGTGTGAAGTTGAAGTGTTGAATTGTTCAATTGAAGGATCAATGTTGAATTCTTGAATGGTTCCAGATCTCCGCAAACCTGGCCCAAACCTGCCTAAACTGCAATTGAAGGTTGGGCAGTTGAGAATTCTTCCACCGGATTCATGTTTTCCAGCAACTTCTTGAAGTGGGATCGTGTAGACGAGTAAATGTCTTTGGTTTGGATTGACGATAAATTCCAAAGACTAATATGAACGAAATGGACTCACTTAAAAACGAAACCTATCCGAATCTATCTGACCTCACCGGATGACATACAGTACACCTCATTGGCAGCCTCCTTTCCTCGGGTTGCTACCAGAGAACGGCTTGTTGGTCGTTCAATGGATTCGGCTCGGGTGTGGCTTGTCTTCCTCCACCACCGATGCTTTTCCGCAGCTGTTGCTGTGGAACAACCACCTGCCTTCATGTCTGCCAGAGTCTTCTCTTGCGCCTTGTCCTGCGGAGATAACAGGTGATGGCTGAGGATGAGCCCAATGCCGTGGATTGAGAGTAGATGGTACAATCCCCAAGTTCGGGGGTTTATATGGACCCCGGTGTAAAGGACATCGCCAGGGGTGCCAGTGCCATCTACTCTGAAACCATCTGAAAACCACTGGAGCTTGGAAGGAGGGAGCTTCTCTAGACTCTCACAGCTTGCAGCCCCCCAGCCTTACCAGCGGCGGTCTTGGACGCTTGGTCTCGGAGGTTCTTCTGGAACTCAGCGATGTCCTGACGCGCGGCGCGATCAGATCTGGACGGTCCGGTCTTGGCGGAGGTTCTCTGGTCCTTCAGAAGGAAGCACCATATATTAGCCCTCCCATCTTAGAGATGCTGGCAAGATTCTGGTCGTTTCGGTTGAGAGTGGATACTATGATCGTCATGGCCGGTGACAGCACCCAAAACATGCCAAGAACACATGCTTCTGCTCCAGTCGTTCCAGAATGCCGTCTGCCCTTGCAAGTGCCCGTCGTTTGCCCGCCTAGACCGAGGTCGATTCATCCTTCCCCGTCCTTGGAGATGCTACCGTTGATCTCCTTCACCACCTCGGTGTTTGGCCAACCAAAGGAGTTGCTCCGAGCCAGCAGACGAACGGGAGACTACCAGGTGCATTGGGAAGGCAACAACCAGGTGTTCCGGCAAAAACGGAACATCTCAGCGTTTCTTTGCCGCACTGGAGGGGAGACTGTAGATCAAACGATCTCCGAAGTGTCACTCTTTCCTACCCAATCACCCCCATGCCTTCAGCGGACACAAGGAGAAGAGAACCCCCACAACAGCCTCCACCCCAGTTTCTCCTCCCAGAAGAAGGAGAGGAAAGCAAGATGTCATCCCATCCCACCCGGCCTGATCAGCCTGAGCCTTGTTCTTCTCGGCCTCTGCCAAGCGCGTGGTGGCCTCCATCGCGGAAAAAGATCGCAACAGCAACAGGCGAAATTGGCTCAGAAAAACCGGGCACAAATGGGTCCTGTGAAAAGTTGCAATGTTCCAGATTTCATCTACTTGAGAAGGCTCATGATGTGCAATGCCTGTTTCTTCCTTACCGCAGTCTATCTGTGTATGATGCTTTACGGTTTTGCCTCATTGTACTTGGCAATGGCATCCTCAATGTCAGACTGGATTTCCTGCCGACTTTCGATTTCGAACCCTGGCCCTGGCGCATCATCTCACCCATTCTCAGGTTCGTTTTGGCAAAGACTGCGTGTCCGGTGCCACAAGGCTGCGAGGCGTTCGTCGCACCAGTCGTGGACTGGTCGCCGCGACATGGGGCGACATCATCTCCACATGGAAGAAGTGCCCTCAAGGCACTTCAAGCACATCAGCACTGGGGGACTACGTCGCCCCTCATCCGAAGCTTTGATGCAGAACTACTCCGGGCTCTCTTGTCCCTTCAAAAGGGCCGAGGCGAACCTCCAAGGGTGTCCCGAGTGGCGTGTCCCTGAAACCAAGTCTGGCACCTGAAAACAAAAAAAGAGTAACTGAGCATATAGTTTGGTGTATTATTCTGGCACCCTGAACATTCCTTCTTGAGAATACGGAGCTACCACTTACTTGGACTCGACATGATCTCCTCGCCCCGATCAGGTGACCCATCAACCACATCATCTGGCCACCTGTGGAAGGTGTGGTCAAGTGGCTTAGGGGTGGTATGGTGGAAATGCAAGGAGTCGTATGATTGAGGTCAAGGGTCCATACCACTGGTGTTCCATGTACTTTCCGCTGGTTGGGAAGAAGAGACCCAAGCAATGAAGTCGCGACGGATGTCCTCTGGGCGCACAGCACTGAACACGAAAAGTTACCCCCCCCCCCGAACCGTGATTTTTCGTCCTTCTCTCGGGAAGCCATGGACTCGCCAAGCACCGGAGACAGGAAGTAGAACAGCCTCCGGTGCTGTGTTTCGGCTCCGGTTTCGGCCAAAAAGAAGCGTCCTGCGTGGCGGGATCCAGCTCCGCGTCGTGGTGCCCCGAGAGGACCGAGAGGTTCGTCTCTGAGTTCCAGGCCCAGCAATGAGGATCGAGATGTTGACGAGGTTGATACTTGGTCCGAGATGAGGATGGAGGATAGGAGGTCTTTCACTCCAAAAGGACGTGACATGGCTATGCTTAAAAGAGAAAAGAACTGAAAACCAACAAACCTGCAAGCGCCTGCCTCAGAATTCAGGTTCTATGAAATGACCTCTGCCACAGTGATGCATGGACCGCCACAGAATTCGGTGTTCACATCCATCTCTTGGGACACCAGCGCTCTGTTCCAGATAGCTACACAGAGCAATTTCGACCCAAGGCGGCCATCGCCGGTTCGCTTCCGCTGAGAAGCCGACTCCGGAATGTTCAGGTTGAGGGCAAATCCGCCACCCAGCTCGATCTGAATCGCCCGCCACCCGAACGAAGGCGGGCTGTGCTTTTTGTTAAACTCTTCCAAGAACGCACCGTAAAGGACCAGCAAAAATACCCATTGTAGTGGAAGAAACCATAATGTTTGCAGGAATCACACCGAGACGAAACACTGCTTGTTCAGAGTGTTCATGCAAATTGTAACCTTTTTCCATCACACTCGCTGCAGTGCTTGAACGCCCCCCGCGGCGCAGCGCGCAGCGCAGCTGGGCTGGCCTTGCCGAAGTCCAGCAGGCCTCCACCCTCGGCAGCCTCTTCCGCCATAGCAGGCAAGGCCTTTTTCGCCGTTGCAAGGTGTCCCTCCCGGACAGTGAGCAGAGTGGCCCAACATTATGTAAACGCTGCTCTCATGACCAGCTGGCCTTGCCTCCATGTCCATGTCTGCTGATTCTCCGTTGAAGCATTCTTGTTCTATATTTAACATCACAGCCACAGTCCAACAGACTGGCTCCGTCTAGCAGGTTCTTCACGTCCACAGTTTTCAGAAGCATCAGATATGACCATTCTTCGAATACCAATCGTTTTCCACTTCCATTATTTGTTTCAGGGGGGGTGTAGGTTTTTGGTCTTTGATGGTTTTTGTAAGCCTTAAATAGATGCCTTTGTTGAGTGCGAGACCTGACTGGCGGAGGATATGTCCTCGCACGTTCTGTTGCGATTGGACTCCATGAAAGCTTCAGGGAGCATAGATCTTCCAACGTTTAATTCCAAGAGATTCCACGTCCAGGTCCCCCGGACGCCGCCAGCGGCCATGGCGCCGGCGCTCGCCAAGGCGCCCGCCTGACGGACGAAAAAGACAACCACTGTGGTCTGGCGCTCGCGTGGTCTGGTTGTTCAATGAATGGGCTTCCTGAGAATCTCCACATCCAGGACCTCTGGAAATCTGTGTTGAACACCACAGATGAGCATAGCGGGCGGCAGGCTGATCTGTGGTTTCTTGTTTCGGCAGTCTAGAAGGATGAGGAGATTCGGTCTTCCTTCTCAAACGATCAAAGACTCTGATCCTTTGGTCCCCAGATGTGTCTTTACTCGGCAACCTTTCCTCTTTGAGATCCATATACGTCACCTCTACTCTACCAAAGCATCTAGCGGATCGCACCCACGTCCCGAAGTCCGAGTGAATCACCAACAGCCCAGCACCCCACCCTGAGCATGGGCTTAGTGGCCGTGTTGGCCGGCAGGAAGGCGGCCTCAGGCCAACGAAGAGGAATGAAAACGGTCCATCCCGCGGGGGCCACCTCACTTCGTTCTTGTCTCCACCTTCCTTTTCGGCCACCTCCAATGAAGATCATATGAGATAATGGAGGGCATAAGGGAATGAAAGCCTCCAAGAAGGACCAGTTGATCCCTGAAAAACCGCCATGCTGCTTCGCTGCAAAACAGCACCCTCGGACTTCCAAAACGACTTCCAAACCAGGTTCGCGCGGTTCCACCGCGGTTCCACCGCGGTTCCACCGCGGTTCCACCGCTCCACACCGGTGTGACCCCGGACCGAGCTCCATCGAAGTGCACAGATCACCGCCTCGTCTGGAGGAGTCGAAAGGAGCCCCAAAAAGGGGGACAAGGTGAACCAAAAGGAAGCGCGAGAGCTCGAAAACACGTGTCAAAAAAAATACCTCTGTCATAGCAACTGTTGGGTTGTTGGTCCTTTGTGTCCTGGCCGTCAGAAGAGATTCCTCTACGTTCACCAAAACGATGTCTATCTGCTTTTCTTCCGCTGGACGACGAAGGGGAGCAGCCGAACCGGGCCGAAATCCGGCATCGATGAAGCGGCCGATGGTCTTCATCACTTCAAGCAGTCCAAAAACCGGGCCCTGATAGCCTTGGAAGCCAGAAACCCAGGCCCTGACAGTTTGCTTAAAAGTGCAAGAAATAACCTCCCGTCACTCCACCCACGGCGAGGCGTGCCGCGGCCACAAAGGCCAGGGAGATGACGGATCCACGGCGAGCCATTCTGGAGCGCGGACCAGCGCGGACGGTGGGTCCACGTGAGCGCGATCGTCGGTGACTTCTGACACATCGATGGAACTGCAACTGTTGCAACTACCACAACTTTGGAGATCAGTCTCGCCCACCAAAATCATCGGAATGTCTGACCCACGTGAAAGAAAGGCACTTACGGGGGGACGTGGGGACCAAAAGAACCTCCGGCACGCCGGACCCGCCGGACCCGCGTGGTGATCGGGTGGGTGGAACAAAAGCACAGGAACGCGCGTTCAAGGGGCCCAGAAAGAAGTGAAATATCATCCTTGAAAATGTAGGTTCCGGGAGGATTGCACAAACCTCAAGTTGGGTGCTTAGATCTAAAGGGGGTCTAGAGTCAGAGGCGTTGTGCCATATGCATTGAACCTACTCCATTTGAGCCATTTGACTGTCAGCCTCTTCCGAACACCTGGCCGACCCCATTTTCGACGCCTTGAACACACAGCCGAGGAGACCTAAGATCGCCAGTCGGGCAAATCCCAAGGAAGCCCGATATGGCCTGGTCCAAGACCTGGGGCTCCAAGCCCTGCCAGGTTGACTTTCTTGGTTCTCTTCATGTTCAGTCATCAACCAGGGTCAGGGACCCTGCCATAGTCCACCAGGGTCCCAGGGTGAGAGCCCACATCTGTCGCTCGAGCCCAAACGAACTCGTCATCGACCTCTCCGGGCTGCCCCGGTGTCCGCTCCGCCCCGCTAAACGCCCTGGTCCGCCCAGCGGCGACGGAGGATGCGCAGCGGACGCCCGGGAAAAAGCTGCACGCACCGCGGTCCGTCCGGCAAGCCACAACGGCCACAACGGCCAGCAACGGCCACGAGGTTTTGGTCTCCAAAAAAAAAAATGTGAAGATTTCACAGGACACAACAGGGAGGGAATGTTTTTTGCTCCAAATTGATGTCCGACTTTGACCGTTTTGTCGCGCTGTTTTTTTGCATTCAGTGCCTGAGTTTTGAACGCGACACCTGCGACCCTGCATGGCGACTCATCCGAAAAACAACTGGTCTTTTCTCCAACTCAATCTCCCCAACATCGATCCTGCTTGGAGGGGGAATCAAAATCCCCATCCTCATGGGTGTTGGTTCCACCGGCTCATCGGCTCATCGCTCCACATCACACCCTGCGGCACCTTGGAGGTTCCTCCCCGGCCGATGGTCTGCAGTCGCGTATAGGAGACCTCGACGGTCCGAAACGAAAAGAGAGGCCTATCCGAGGCGTGGAGGCTTTACAGTGCTGGCTGGGGTTTTGAAGGAAGAAGGAGGGGTTGGTGCATACAGTACCCCACCAGAACCAGAGCAAGACCTGGTCTTGTGGAAGCTCTTTCACAGAAAAATCCTACTACTATATATATGATTGAACACACTTTGGCTCACTCAAGAACGGATTCATTGCTCCAAGAAGGGCCGTGGTCTTCAGAAACGATGAGCTGTGCACAGAGCCACAACCCATAGTGTTTTCTGCCCGAAACGGGACCTCTGAGTCTTTGAACTACAGTCTCACCAGACACTTTCCTTACCCCCGATCGCCCATCACCGGGAACATGACCAAAACCTGCGGTCTCCGGCCGGTCTGCAAGAACCAAAAGCAACGAAAGAACGCCAAAGCAGACACACGCACAGCTTCCGTCTCCTTTCAGCTTCTTTCGCATCCCTCTTGGGATGTCCGAACGCCATTCACCACCACGAGCTTCGGAAGTCCTCTCAACGACCAAGAGCACCCGAGAGCTTGAGCATCGGAAATGGGGAGAATCCCAAAAAAATGTTATTTGTGTGCATACAGTTTGAGACCAGTGTGAATATGAGGAATTCACTAATGGGAGTTGAATTTGGTCTAGAAGAGTTTTGCTGGGGCACGTGGCATGTGCAGAATTCCTTGTGAATAGGTAAGGATCCCCAGTTTGCAACATCCGGAAAGCCCACAACCATTCAAAATTTCATGACCACGAGTGCCTTTCTGCGCAATCCCTCATTGGCATAAAAAAACACCAGAAAAACCTGAAAGCCTTTCGTGTCCTTGCGCTGCTTCAGGAGCTTGGGCCTGGCGGTGCAAACCCTCCTTCACTCAGAGTTCGAATTGATCCAATGGGCACCAGGCCTCCTTGGTCGAGGGATCTGAAGAGGCACCATGTTGGACCCTGATACACCTGCCTTTTCACTTGATCCTAGTCTTGGCTCTTCAGGTCTTGAGGTGAGACATGGGTTCAGGGTGCAACATACCGCGGGTGGTAGATACCGTACCGATCCTGTGCGCTGCTCATCGCCCTTCCCCGTGACTCCTCGCCTCCTGTCTCGCTTCGTCCTGAAGTCCGTGTCACAGGTGATTCCGCACCACACAAACGTATAGGTAAACGGCTATCATATGATTGGTAGATGTTTGGGGTAGATGTTTGGGGGATATATGTGCAAAAATGGCATGAAGATGTCAAGACAGTCAAGACATGTCTATTTAAATGAGCTGTCCGTGGGGTTATGTCACACATGCCATGTACCTGGACCTTCCAATGTACTGAACCCTTGCCGCGCCCAGCACGTGTTCTGAAAAGCGAACATGGACGCTTTTCCCTGGCCGCTCATGGGCAGCTCCATCACGTCATGCTTGGCTCCCCGGCAGCTCCGTCACTCTTGGCGCCTGTTTCAGGACCCAACGAAAGGAAACAATCACTGACCCAACAAACGAACAAACAAACAAACAAAAAAACAAGCAAATTCAACCTAACTGCCTGCAAGTACTAACTGCAACTACCATACACATCTACACATCCACCCACTAAACCCAACCACTAAACCCAAACATATCATATATAAAATTAAATAGAACAATATGTATGTTACTTTCTTTTAAAATACCCACCCCACCCGCCTCGTGGCCCCAATCGTTCGCGGTCCTCCGGGATCGGCGACAGGTCCACGGCCGAGACCTCGCTCCACCGGTCGCCGGTCGGGCAGACGGTGGGACGGTGGGTGCTGAAGCAAGGTGAATGGGACGGTGGGTTCCAAACGCGAAAAAACCAACGTCACCCCCCCCCCAACATCCGAATCATGGTGAACTTCCTTCACTTCCACCTGCTAAAGTACTGAAGCCAATAAACCAGCCGTTCAAGGTCATTGCTGGCTGGATCTCCAGTTCATCCGTCATTGCCTCTGCACACCCATGGACTACGAATGGATGACGAGGCAAACTATTCAAGTGACGTCGATGACTTCGCTCCAAAAACCAGCGCAAGCATCAACGACTTGTGGATCTCAAGCACCCCTTTGAAGGGTTGCGACCTTAGAGGGTAGGGCCTAGGGGTGCCCAGGGGTGCCCAGGGGGTGCCCTGCGTCCAGCGTTCGCGACCCGCCACGCGACTCGGCCGTGCACAAGCCGAGCCGCGCGGGGAAAGCTTCGCGTCGTGGGCTCTGTGAGCAGAGGAGTGGGTTCCTGTGCGGTTTGGCAGCAAAGAAGGTGAAGAAAGGGAAGAAAGGCCATCGTGACCTTTGGAGAGACTTTATTTCATAGTTGCATGGTTGGTTGGATGGTTGGATGGTTGGTTGGATGATTGGATGGTTGGATGGTTGGATGGTTGGATGGTTGGATGGTTGGTTGGATGGTTGGATGGTTGGATGGTTGGTTGGATGGTTGGATGGTTGGATGGTTGG